TAACAGCAAAAATTGCAATATGAGCACTGGTAAAAATGGTTGCTGAGACATTAGGTTTATAATAGCCAGAAATTCATAGAGAGATGTCCTCAAGGACACACGGCACTGTGGATAAAGGCGTTGGTTAGATCCAGTGACAGGTAGAATAAAAAGATTGTGAGTTCAATACTCGGTTAAAGCAGTGGAGAACTTTAAGATGGAAATTAACTGATAACTGACATCCATTAGACATGGCACGTGGAACTAGAACAGTCTAGCCCAGTGAACGAAATAAAGGGTTAAGTTCGACATTCCAACCACCTGAAGAAGGCCGCAGCGTACAACGGCCGAAACGTTGTAATAATATTAGGACAATAGTCCGAATAATGTAAATAATGTACATTATGCCTCATCTCAGAAATAAGACAGATACTCGTTAATTATTAATTAAATTATTAGTTAAATATATAAAAGAAAAGACGGGAAACTGAAGATTACCACAGAGGTACTTGTATTCTTGTATAACACGCATTTTAAAAGGTAAATGGCAAATCAAATAATGCGGGTTCTATAGATAAATAAATAATAATAATATTAATAAATAAATAAACAATTACTTATACACACATATTCAAAACGCCATACCAGGTTATGAAAACTTAGAGTGTACTGAAAGTAAGTACGTCTAACCAGAAAGAATTAGAAAAAAAATGTATGCTATAAGTTATTAGAATGTGTTTGAAAAACCTCACAGTATTTAGTATTGTTGAAGTTATCGCTAACATATTTTATGGAGATTTACAAACACATTCGTTCAATTTCGAAAACCAATCGATGAAATTTGAATAAGCTGATATGTTTGGAAATTGCTTTGACAAAAATCCTACTTCGAGGTTTAATAATTTCATTAAATTAATTTAATTTTATAGACTTCGTGATAAAAAAAATATTTTTTTAAGAAAATTACTTTTTTCCTTTTTTTTTAACAGCGAAAATAAATTCTTAAGATACCTTACTCTTCAGCATGCAACTGGCCGTGCGTAAATATGTCTTCCTGGAGCCAAATGCAAACATTTTCAAGCGTTTTGCCTTGTGATTTGTTTATAGTTATCGCAAACGCAGTGTGAACTGGATGCTTATTGACTTAAGGAAAATATATGCAAAATAATACTGCATTTTTATTAAATAAGTATTTCTTATTTTAATCATTAAATTGTTTTTGTTTTATAATGGGTGTATTTTGTATGTTTAATAATAAAACATTTAATTTTCCCCCAAAATTTAATGAATATTTATTGAACTACACTACGCACCATAGTAAACAATCTTAACTTTGTACTCCCTTACCTTTTTGCATTTCTCAAAAAATTTCATTTCGATCGGTCAATGTAAGAGGATTTTAGATGATGTGAAGGACGGACTAAGAGAAGTCACAGAATTATATATATATATATATATATATATATATATATATATATATATATATATATATATATATATATATGGAGCACTGTCTTCTTAAAAAATAAAAGCAAAATACTAAGGAACTCCGAATTATACCCAACGTGTTCTTTTCTATTTTCTGTATACCTGCATATATATATATATATATATATATATATATATATAATATTAATGGTAAATATATACATATATATGCAATCATATATCTAAAATATATAAATATATATACATACATACATACATACATACATACATACATACATACATACACTTACATATATATGTATAAAAAAATAATTCCAAGAGGATAGAATCCAGGTAGAATTCAATGTCCAGGACAGAGTAAGGATATAATAAAAACGCTTAAACATGGTCATAATTTGTTCCATTGGAATCGTAAATTTATCCGAAGATTATAGTATAAATAACTATGTTATAAAATCCATACAAAAATAACTTCTGGTGTCTTATCAAGTGATGGTGTTGAATGTAGAATAAAGAGATTTAAAAGATTCAGATCTGAACCTTTTAAAACCCTTTATTCTACATTCAATACCATCACTTGATAAGACGCCAGAAGTGTTAAAACGAAATGGCTATTTTGTATTGATTTTATAACGTATTTATGTTATACTTTTCGAATAAATTTTATTTGCTCTACTCTGTATTGAATAAGTATTTATAATAAATTGAATATTTGCTCTACTCAGTATTAAATAAGTATTTGTAATTTAAATCATTAAATTGTTTTTAAGATGATGAAATTATTTAGTATGTTAAATAATAAAACTTTTAATTTTCACCAATAAATAAATGAAAATTTATTGTACTAAGCTTCGCACCCTATTAAAACTAAATGTACTTTACCGAGTTAATTAGTAGCACTTGGATCAGTAAATCATTATTATCTCCAAAATATTCTTAAAATCTAATATTATCTGACTTTAAATAACCTGCCAAAGTTGATAAGCCGTAAAAATAAATCAAATACCACTTTACTTTTCTTTTTATGTGTCGTGATCTTTCAGGAAGTAGGTGATCATGGCTTTTCACTTCCCTATCCCTTGTAGCACTTAATAAATTCCGATCCTTTGTCACCCCCACCCACAAGACAATGTTCTGTCATCCACTTGCCTGGTATATCATTGCTTTCACTTGTCACTCTTTCCCTCAATTCGACCTATGAGTATCAGATTCTCTAGGCCCTCCTTTCTCAATACATATCCCAAAAGCTTCAGCTGCTTATTCCTGATGTTAAGTAGAAGTCTCCACCTTGTTTGCATCTTCTCCAAGACCTCATCTTTACTCACACGCCTGGTACTTGATATCCTCAGCATCCTTCTGTAGAACCACATCTCCGTCGCTTCGAGTCTCTTCTTCATCTTTGAAGAGACCGTCCGACATTCGCTGCCGTAAAGGAGAACAGATGTCACGTAACAGCTCAGTACGCTTTTCTTTGTTACCAAAGAAATCCTCCTGTCTCGTAATACTTTGTCCATCTTCTGGAATACGTCCTTGGCCATCCCAATACATCTACAGATCTCAGTGTCGCAATTAGCGCCCTCTGTCCGAACACTTCCCAGATATTTAAGCTTCCGCGTCTGCTTGATTCAAGTGTTGCCGACCTGCAAATCGCATTTCGGGCTCATCTTTTTACTGATGAACATACATTCTGTTTCCATATAGTGTATGCTTAGTTCTCTCTTCCCAGAATTCGTCGCTACCTTTTGTAGGAGTTTTTCTTTTTTAATTTCTTTTCCGTATCTGCTTATCTTATATTGTTAAGATTATGACTGCCAATGCAGAATCCCGGTAAGATTTTCAATTCTCTCAAAATTGCTTTACGTCCCTTTCTATTTTTGCATATTCGCTGAACGCGTTCCCTATGCACATGCATGCCGTTTGCTGCCAGTATAGGTTCTTGATTATTTTAATATCAAGTTTGCTGAGTAGTTCCATCAGATCCTTATAGCGTACTTTGTCGAAGGCCGTTGATAGTCTATGAAACAGATACATGTCCTTCCGTGTCAAATATCAAACTACTAGACATATAGCCTTGGTCCCAAAGCGTAATTTGCTTAGAAAATGATTTATTTCACCCCAAGCAAAGCAACACAGTCGCAAGTTGTTACTGAGTTTGAGACGATATAAGAAAAAAAAAAGAATCACTATTAATTAGAGATAAAAATAAAACAATAGGAATTAAGAAGATAGAATATAATGATTGGCATTTCTTTTAAACATTGGAAGATCAAATTTGATACGGACGCAATAAAACGAAAGATATATATATATATATATATATATATATATATATATATATATATATATAAAGTGAGAAGTACGAGAAAAGAAACTGTTAGCATAGAACTTGCGTTTATATCTAGCCGATTCAGCTGTAAAATGATGAGAATTTACCGCGCTGAAATTCATAATGTCTAACAACCATGGTGGCAAGATCATCAGAGCAATTAACATGAAAGTATTTCTAGAAAAAGAACAGAGGCACTGCGTTGCGGCGGTAGGGAAATGACTGAAACCGAGATGCCAGACTAGGATCTATAACGTTGCAGATTCGTCTTTGTACTCGGTAAGATGGTTAAATAGTCATCTAAATTACACAAAAAAGAAAATAACACTGACATCTAATCTTCAAAATTTCACAAAAATATCTTGAAATACTAAAGTGTAAATTTATTCAATAAAATCATCATTGGCTTTTACTAGGTTCTCCGGACGAATTTGGAATCGCCTGCTAATCTTCGGGACAGTCTCATTTTAAGTTGGTAAATGCTGTCATAATCCTTACCTTCAGTTCGTTTGTGGTGTTGCAATGAGGTTTGCTTTTCACTCATCTGCACCCTACACAAAACAATGTAGTCTGGAGAGTTAGCAGCCAGATGTCAAGGGTGATGTAGTCGCAGAAATTGTCTGACAACGATAACTGGATTCTCTTGCTTGGGTGGCATGGTGCAGAAATAGGTTATTCCAGAAACCAACCTCTTAAACAAAGCCAGGCCTACTTTCTCAAGGTACTTGATATAGGCATCCGTGTTGAATAAGAGGTTGTGTGGGAAGATAAATGGAGGCATGACGTCGTTATCACTAATGATCACTCCAAACACCAGTATGTTGACTGGATATATCATCCAACTCTTTTAGAATCCTCTGCACAATCCTCAGATTGGCACCGTTCGTGTTGGAGTTTCCACCGCGAATACGAAGCCATTTCCAATTTTCTGGTGAATTACCTCCTGGTACTCTTTTTCTCACAGACGATGCTCACATGACGCTACTATACTGTGTACTCGACAAAATCAAAAACAATAAAACGCGCATGCGCGAAATTTAAAAATATAAACAGACGACAATTTACCCATCGCACCCTTTATTTTATTATTTTTTTTCTTGCTACAGGGAAATATGCTGGCTAAAATTTCATGAGGTAATGTTTTTAAACTTTTTCTGCAGAACATTATTATTACATAGTTATTCCCAAAGTATGTTATGCTTATGAAAACCTTTAATTAAAAAATTTCTTCGAACTATACAGAAACCATGTCATATGAGAATGGTTTCTTGTAAAAAGAGAGAGAGAAAAAAAAAAGAAACATCGTAAAACAAATGAGACAACTGATTTATAAAAATAGTGCAGACAATAATACCGAAAGTATATAAAATACGATAAATTAAGTGAAGAAACATACAAAGAAATATTTTCCAGTAAATAAAGCATAAAAAAGTTACAGGCAATGAATAAAAGAACGCGTCCGGTTAGAGAATGAAAGAATGGATGGATGAGAGAATGAAAGAATGAATGGATGAGAGAATGAAAGAATGGATGGATGAGAGAATGAAAGAACGGATGGATGAGAGAATGAATGAATGGATGGATGAGAGAATGAAAGAACGGATGGATGAGAGAATGAAAGAACGGATGGATGAGTGAATGAAAGAATGGATGGATGAGAGAATGAAAGAACGGATGGATGAGTGAATGAAAGAATGGATGAATGAGAGAATAAAAGAATGGATGGATGAGAGAATGAAAGAACGGATGGATGAGAGAATGAAAGAATGGATGGATGAGAGAATGAAAGAACGGATGGATGAGTGAATGAAAGAATGGATGGATGTGAGAATGAAAGAATGGATGGATGAGAGAATGAAAGAATGGATGGATGAGAGAATGAAAGAATGAATGGATGAG